AAAATTAAAAACATTATTAAAGAAAAAGTGACCATTGAACAATTCTGTCCGGGCTACTAGTCATTCAGAACTTAATAAATTACCGACTAATCTAGGAGGTAATTTTGTCGATCTGTGACTGTCTACAAATGCGGTAATCGAGCGTCAATAGGATGGACGCCGTAACAAATTTCGTAAACGCCTAAAATTTTGAGCACCTTCTAATACGTCAAGCACATCAAAGTCCAGTAAAGGTTGTAATCTTTAAGGGTAAAGGTTGTAATGTTAAACGGTAAAGGTTGTAAGATTCAATGTTTCACGAAGAAAGCTTGTTCAGCAACACGGTTTCAAGAACGTACTGAACTAGTTTTGTGTGACTCATGACGTTGTGTGTTTTACGAGTATGGTGCACTATTTGTACTTACTCTTGTCTACTGAACCTATTCCCAGAAGAAATACGAACGGAAATACCACAAAGCTACTTTAGACTCTAATTAATTTGAACAAATATACAATTAACATTGATAAATCAAATTGTGGAATCAATAAACTTCTATTATTCGCGAAGGCAACTTTCGTCTGTCAGCTAGCGGATTAATCTACTATTTTATGACAATCTCATTTAAATATGAATAAATAGCGGCAGGTACTATTCATATTTAAATGAGCTGCCCATAAAATAGTAGGTTATATGCCTGTAGATGGTAGCCGTTAGTTGCATTCGCGAATACAGGCTATAGCTAAGTGGCGTATTGAGGACTAACGCGCAACACAACGTAGAAAAGAAACTTGTTACAATATAAGAACAAGAAAAGACGATTGATTTTGTTCCTTGTTCATGCACTATATCTTCTCTATTGGTATAGCCGACATCATAATCAGCCCATTGACTCCTAATTTTTCTTGTTTCACCCTCGTAAGTTCTTTTTAATGACTCTCTAAAGACGCCATTATCGCCTGAACTACATTTGGCCTTCTTCTCAATATGCTAAACAGCGCCAATATATTGACTTAACCTCTTGAATCCCAGGCTCTAAAATCGGTTTAAACCAGAGCAATTTTAGTGAAAATTTTTGTGACGGATTTTCTCGTCACTCTGGGTTTCAAGGTCATTTCTGAGGTGACGAGAAATCTCGTCACTCCAGGTAGTCAAAAGGTTAAAGAATTTATAAGAATTAATCAAGCGAAAAAATAATCCGAAATTGGCTATCGATTTATTGGGTGTCCAAAAAATAAATCGTTTTTTTGACAAATATTGTCTCTGTCAGCTATAAATGAGCAGAATTCTCCGAATGTTTTAGCTTGGAAACTAGAGGGTGTCATGAGCGGTTTTCTGAAAATGGAAGAGATCAGTTGCATGCGAGTATGCTCTAATTAAAATTACATACCACACCATGACACACAAACAAGCTGTTTTTGAGACTAAAACTGATTGACAGGTCCTTCCACTTTAGAGCTCTGAAGGTGTCATTGCACAGCTGTGATATTTGACATGCGTTGTTGAATTTGTCAATTCTCACACAATATGCAATCGATATTTTTCGTATTTATATAACTTGATAATGATACCCTATGAAATTTTAGTATAGATGACTTGGCCGGGAGGGCTTGAGCGCCAGCACGTTCAGGCTAGCCGATTGGGCGCCGTAACCACGATGTTGCGAGTTCAAGCCGCGTGTGCTCCTTGTGTTCATTATTTTAGAAATTTTCAATACATTTGAGTGATCAATTGCTGACAAAATACTTGTAAAAAAGAGATTCACTTTTTTGGACACATGATACATGAAAGATCTCGATCACTGCGTCATGAGCTAAGTGAAATATCAGATGAATAAGATTTCTTAACAGTTTACTTCCATTTTACAATACCAATAAAAACCATGACAATATCTTTCGAGATATGTTGTCATATACTTCAGTTTAGTTTTTATAAGGAATACTTTTCGCGGAGCTGAATATAGAGAAGATATGACGTCACATGAGAATTAATTGCGATCGATAGTTTATGTGAACGAAGTGCTTTGATGTAAAGGTCTACTTTATAAAGGGTGCTTTAAAACATGCAATGTACGAATCATTTAATTAAGCATCGTTTTATTAAAAACTGAATCTTTGTCGATAGTCTACCTAATTGTAAAATTTGTTTTCGTAGAAATACGGCCTGCACAATCGACGTCATCTTCAAGTTACTATTGACAAGAAGAGATTGCACTATTATTACTATAGTTCGAGATAAATGTTAAATTAGTTAGCTCAGACTCAAAATTCAACACGCAACGTCATAAATATTTTTACCGGATTAACTTATTATTCTTGAATAATTTTCATGATAATTTTCATTCCAAAATAGAAAATTGCATGAATATAATTTTTATTATAGTTTTTCTATTTCCCGATCATTTTCAGTGAGTAATTAAAGTTATTTTCTGAGTTCTTTGTTGCCATAATAGATTTAATCAAAACATAATGATCAGTTACGTTGTGAAGATAGATTGTGAAGTCCAGGACGTGTGTTTTTAGAACCAATCGAGTTACAACGCCCGGGTGACGTCAGTCGTAATCAAAATAACATATTTCTTCCGATTGGTAACAAAAGGCTTGAGCTATTTTGATAGAAATGAGCAATCGATTACATTCGGCATTTTACGTAAATGAGTGAAAATTATACATATTAAATGGATTCATTTACCAGTTAAATTGGAATTCGATTAATTTCGTCAATCCTAATAGTTAATTGTTGTTTTTTAACATCTTTAGCTCACATGCACATCTATGAAAACATTCTCCCTTTCGTCAATTTTTCTGATCATGCGATTATTATTTGTATCTGGATTTCGTGACAAAATCAAACATCTTTGGGTTATCAAAGAAAATCACTGCAATTATAGATCGACAAAATGCCACAACGCAGATTTGTTAAAGTTGACCATGACAAATAGTCAATATGGGAACCCAGAGTTTTACAAACATTTTGGATCTAAGCACACTTCTCGGAGTAATTCGATTACATAAAGACTACTTATTGCGCAAACTCAAATTACCAAGGGAATAATTTTATGATGTCAGTCGATAAGAGTCTCGGGTATGATGACATTGTTAATACTACGTCCCCGACGTAAGTTTGGTAACCTGATGTTTTCATTGGATAATACAAAGCCGGCAAATGTTTCAATCTTAATTTTTGCCGTCGGTACAATAAACGATCTAAATATTTATGACTAATTTTATGATTTTTCGAAACTCTAAACATAAAAAGGCCTTGGTAAATGATTTGCAAGGAGACTCCCGCTTGCCACTTCCGGTTGTCAAACTTATGCAAAGGAGTGTACACCTCCCCATAATTAAATAATATGTGTCATATTTTGCTGGTAATATTTGAATTCATAGAAGTAAACTTTGAAACCATCAACATCTTGAAGAACAAATTACATACAATGAAAAACCGTTCAGGAGTTTATTGTAAAATCCTTGACCTTCGACGTTGACCTTTGCAATAAATTACCCATAATTAATTGCGTCAGGTCCCTAAATCATTTCAAACATAGGAAAAGATAATGAATTAACAGTCGACCCACACTATCAATTTAAATTAAACACTTCATAGTAACGACCGCCAAAATCACAGTTCTAGTGTAGATTGTATTATTCTTCCATACACCGATTCTTGTCTCTGAGTTTCTGACACGACCCTTTACAAAAAAACACCACATGTTATATTCTAGAAATTGCGAGACTTGCCAAGGGGATATTTGTATATATTTCATTCTAAAGCATCAATGATTAATGTGTTTCGTTATATCAACATCTTTGTGACACCGTGGCTTATTAGATTTGACAAAGCAAAATGTAGTTTATAATCTCAGATCATGTACTTAATACTATTTCTTAATTTAGACAAAGCATCGAGTCTCCAAAGTCTATCAATGGATAAGTTTCGATGATTTTTTATTTTCATTGACACAATCATTTTTACTTAATTTCAGTTAACATATAATGATAATCTAGCTACAAGATATTTACGCCTCAGTGAACGATGGATGTTGTATAATGCGTTAAGTTCACTTGTGCCTATTCCAAATACTTGCCTCTTCAAATAATTCAAATAATTCATCCATATTTATTATGCCAGAAACGCTAAAACTGTTTGTTAAGAACAAATAAAGAAGATGTGTCAGATTGTGTCATTTACTCTACTAATTCATAATAAAATATTAACATTTCTTTACTATAGATACATGATTAAATTGTATTTAAAAAAATTGATACGTGCTTAATTGAAAGTGTATTTTTGTATTAGCCGATTTAACAATCGACAAATTCAATTTTCGGGACTACATTTAATGATAAAATATTCTAACATTAATTTACTGCCTCATTATATAATACCGTCATCTATTAAGTCTAGGTTTAAATTAGATAGCAGATGTTATTTGATATTTCAGATTCCACTTACAGCTAAATTCAATAATGATAGAATAAGTAGAACAAAATAGAGATATATTACACGCAACAGACACGAGCTTGAAAACCAAAAGTCCCCTTTCCCTTATAGCATTTATGCCATTGATGATTGGATCTTTATATTGTTCCTTCGTTGAGATAATTCTAAAAATCACAAATACGATGGATTCACCTATATTTTGTACTAATGTTTCCGAAATAGTTAACGTATGTACAAAACCTTTTCAACGTGAGAGCTGTGCGGGGACGAAATTTAAAAATAAGTCCCTTCCATATATAGACTTGGAGTTGAATAATCATAAATGAATGGATACTTAAGGGTTCTATGCTTGCTACTCCACTATTGAAAATATATATATATATATTTTTTTTTATTTCGGAGAAGAAAAGACATGTTAAAGCAATTGCACAAAACAATTATAATACAGTTACATGGTGAACATACATTTCACAATACAGTATATATTGGTTAAACGTTAGTGTTTAAGACATTTTGTACTACTGGCAATTTTTTTAAAATATATATTTCTTACTTAAAGTTTGAAATTGTTTGCTTTCAGACGGAACAACTTGTGTTTCTTTGTATACTATTCATTTTGATAGTGGCTGGAAATGCATCCGTTCTCTCCTTGATTCTGCTTAAAAAGAAACGTACTGGCATCAACTTCTTCCTGATGCACCTGGCAATTGCAGGTAAATATGTTCACTTTACTTAACATTACAGGTATGCAGAAATGAATTTCTAAATATCACTTATGTGATAATGTTCTTTTTACTTTTTGATTCATTTTCACTTTTGGTTATGACAATTTATGTATTTGTTTTTTAACATGTCATTTATGTTGTTGACATCTGGTTTAGAAGAGAACCAGTACCATGGTATGCAAATTGGTGTTACAATCAATGAGCCATCCACCATTCTGACACTCATTTATCTGTACGAAGCACAAATTTGTAGTCATTTCAGTCAATTTTAGTGGCCCGCCCTGTATAGTAAAATGCTATTTTAGGTCATGATGCATCATTTTGATACTCGCTATATACGATTGTGTACTCATTTTCTGTTTTACTGACCCTGTATAATAAAATGCTATTTTAGGTCATGATGCACCACTCTGATACTCTCTTTTCTTACTAAGCGCGAATATGTACTCATTTTCTGTTTTGTCGACCCACCCTGTAAAATAAAATGCTATTTTAGGTCACGATGCACCATTTTGATACTCACTTTTCCTACTAAGCGCGAATATATACTCATTCTCTGTTTTATTGACCCACCCTGTGTCCTTTATGTCGTAACGCTCTATTCTGATACACATCATTTCTGCTTCGCTGAATATTATGGAACATATTTTCATATCAGCGCATTTAATGGAAATAGTATCAACAGTTATTATGATGGTTATCGAGTAATTGTTACCTTTAACATGATACATTACATAATAGGTGTTTAGTTCCATTGCCGTAACATTATAACAAAGTCACAGGCGGCATACTCTTTAGGTTTTAAGAAGCCTAATTAGATAAAATGTAAGCTGAGATGAAAGAAGTCCAATTTCTCATATCCTTTGTCTACCATTCTGATACTCATCCCATTTTCCTGCATGCCTCTCACTAGAAATATGAGAGAAGCTAATGGAGACCATTATTTCTCGTGATAGTGGTGTACTAGGATTACCCAAACTTAATCATAATACAATATCATTTATCATCAACAAACATTTTGAAGACTACAACAAAATATCAACACTTCTGTTTGCTTCAATTCACCGATCACCTGTTTTATCTGCTTCAACAACAAGACCAGTTTCTGGGGTGATGTGGAGGTCCCAATGGCCTTTTGGTAGACAATTCTCATAACAATGTATACTATTCGTATGATATAGGCTAATCATTCTCATTCGAGTCATTCGGCTATATCTTACACCACAAGATGGTGCTCTTTGAAAGGACATCGAGACCATCATCATAGTTCCATTTGTAAAATGAAATAAAATTACGATATTTGTTCACAAAAATTAAATCTTGAAATGCGCCTGTCCTGTGTTGCAACCTTACCTACTTATATTTTATAAACCTGTCCTTAAGGGCCTTGGGGTATTTTACAATTGTCCGAAATGGTTGTACTGTAATTGCTTGTTGGATATTGCTTTTCACAAAGCGTTGTTTTTGCAAAGTTTCAAGTTCATGTTTGACTGACACTTTATGGCCGGATGTTCTGTTATTCTGCGTGTCTTCCTGCAATCATATTGAGTCAGTGTACGTCTTATTGCTCCTATTAAGGATGTCAAATTAGAAGTAACCCTTGAAAATCATAATTAGAGAATGGCCTTTACTGAAATATTCTCAGGGATAATTCGTAAATATTTCATTAAATTCATTAAGAATGAATATCAAGACTTGACACTTATCTATTTTGCGGAGTGTGACCAGATTTAGGATTATTTTACTCGACAGTCTTGTTGGAAATACGATGCACAAGAGAGTTCATAAGTAATTGTAAACCTAACACCTTGACCTCTTTTACTATTATTCGATTGGTTAGGAGCTATTTAGCCTTTACATTCATTCGAGTTCGCTTCCTAAAAGAGAGCTTCGTCTTCGGTGGTTTATAACTATAGACTCTGCACGCAGTATAGGAGTTTTTACGTGTTATGTAACTGTTCGGGAACTGGAGAATAGGCACGCAAATCCAGATCACCCCAGCCCAAGATAAAGAAAATGTTTAAGCCTATTTACTTAACCCAAAACCTTAGATTTTAACCTTAGACCTTAGATCAATTTCGAAACATTTTAAATTTGTATTCATGTTTTGCAATCAGTAACCATGACAAGACAAATCCCTGTATATTTATTCTTAAATGTCTATTATCTACATTGTCTAAACAATGTCTACATTTTCTTATCACACTTCAACTACATTGTTTTGAATCAAAGCCTTATTTAATGTGTAATTATTCATGCTTATGAAGTCCAGTGAGTTGATATAGATTATTAGCTGTAAAGCAAGAACTGTCAAAATTCTTTATTTTAATGCACTTCAAATGAAAGGCATCCTGTCATTTGTATCCCTGATCGGGAGACATGCTTCCTTTAATTCTTCGCTAAAAGCTTGTCTAGAATGTAGACAGATGTTTCTTTATACCCCAGGACATGACACAGCCTCGTTTGTTAAAGGCCTCTGTTGTTCCAATATACAATAGATGATATTGAGATTACATCACTTCCAAGGTTAGAATGGATAACATAGATCTTAGTGTCAGCAGTAGTTCTATTCAATTTCTTTCTTATTACGTCCACATTGGCAAAGCTTGCAAAAATGCGTACATTTATATATGTTCTATCTTATTAGAACAGCAAGCGCATAATGTAAGCTAAAAACGTGTTTTTTTAGATCTGTCAGTTGGCCTGGTGAATGTGTCAACTGACATTACGTGCACAATTTAAGCTAAAACGTAATTTATCTGTTTTTCAGATCTGTCGGTTGGCCTGGTAAATGTGTCAACATACATTACGTGAACAGTGTAAGCTAAAAAGTAATTTATCTGTTTTTCAGATCTGTCGGTTGGCCTGGTAAATGTGTCAACTGACATTACGTGCACAATTTAAGCTTAAACGTAATTTATCTGTTTTTCAGATCTGTCGGTTGGCCTGGTAAATGTGTCAACATACATTACGTGAACAGTGTAAGCTAAAAAGTAATTTATCTGTTTTTCAGATCTGTCGGTTGGCCTGGTAAATGTGTCAACAGACATTACGTGAACAGTGTAAGCTAAAAAGTAATTTATCTGTTTTTCAGATCTGTCAGTTGGCCTGGTGAATGTGTCAACAGACATAACGTGCACAATGTAAGCTAAAAATAATTTTTCTGTTTTTCAGATTTGTCAGTTGGCCTGGTGAATGTGTCAACTGATATTATTTGGAGAGCGACGGTGGTATGGCTTGTTGGGGGACCTGCCTGTAAATTGATCCGATTTTTGAATGTAAGCCAACTTTCTTGACACTTTTTCCTGAATACATCAATATTTGGGATATTTAAGCCAATTTTTTAACACCTTTTCCTGAACAAATCAATATTTGGGATATTTAAGCCAACTTTCTTGACACTTTCTCCTGAACAAATGAAAATTTGGGATATTTGGGTTAGTTTTCTTATTGATGTTCCGCTTAGACTGTTCTCGTCATATTAAATAGCATGCTACAAGTTGTGATCATTTAATTCTGAACTAGTTTATTTTGAACTAGTTTATTTTATTTAACTGTACAATTTTATGATAACATTGTAATAACATTTATTCATTTTAACTTCTTATATATGAAACGCATTAAACATTAACAATTTTAGACTGTTATTTCGGGGTTTTTAAGTATTTAATTTTAAGAATTTTAAAGTTGTTAATTTTTAGATGGATCGTTTTTTGACGTGGATTTCAATGTTCCTGTTTTAATTTATCTCAGCAAAGGTTTATTTGATGATTGATTCATAAACTCCGTTTCAATAATCTGTGGTTAGGTTATTGTACATGTCAGTTTAATTTTACATGTAGCTATTGTACATACAATGCCATATTGTACCATAATTTAATAACAAAATAAAACAAAATATGAAACCGCATTTACATGTTTCATCAAATACAAAATGCCAACAGAGTAATTGAAACTTTATTGCTCCGTTTTATTGTTTTATGTTTGTGCAATTAAATTTAGTGATTAATGTTGTTCAGCTGTAGCTTTTATGTAGTTCATTCACATTCATTTCAATTCGGAATATATCTGGTTTATTGTTAAACACGTCAGGCTCATATACAGTTTACACCGATTCCCTCCATGACATCTGTAAAATTACATTTGAGAGTATGTAGCAACGGTTGTCAATGTTTGAATGTTCATTGTGTTGGAAAATGACATAGATATAATCTCAAAACATAAAATTGAAGCCATAAATTGAAGTTCATGTTGCTACGACCCTTCCCTGTAGATCCTTCTTCAGCCAATGATCCGATCCGAATTTTATCAAATCTGACCAAGAAAAGGGAAAACCACAGAGGTTAGGAGATGACAGACGTAATAACGTCTCTTGCTACAACTATTGTTTGTTCGAATTTTTTCGGGCTAGTTTCCGAATACCACAGGTCGTTGTGATGATTTAATCAATGTTAGCATATCCCTTTATTTCTTTATTTTGATGTGAAGTAACAAGCTAGTATGCTTTTGGTTAACCCGCCAGATATTGATATTTATAAATATTATTCGAAGCATTTTAAGACATTTTTTAAATCCGCCATTAAATGACGTCATGTGTCTGTCAAGTTGACTAATCAGCGGCGATGTCATCTCAATACAAATTTACAGTATAGAAGTATGTCATCCCTGAACCCTGAGGCCTCCCCCTCTTTTGGACCCATGTAATTCTGAACAGGTTTATTTTGAACTATACAATTTTATTTATCGTCAACAATCGTTTCGAGTCACTGCAGCTTCTGCATATTAATCTGACTTGATATGCAGTAAATATGCGAACAATGGAGATTTACGACCAGGAGTCTTACAGCAAAACCTAATCTTAATGCTTAATAGAAACGCTATTTAGAAAGGCTTGGTGACATCATAAATTGTACAGACTATGGAAAAAACACCTTTATCTATTGGACAAGCTATCATTATTTGATGCGGCAGGGTCTCTACTGCATGTGCTATTTGCCATGATTGCAGATTGCAAAATTTTCCCTTTACCGAATCCCATATGATACTATAGATTTTGCTGCTCATAATTTCCAAATTGATTGCATCTGGTATGGGTCCTGGCCAATTTTTGTACTGCGGTTGAAGCAGATATTCAAATATCCAAATAAATGTAGCGGCTTTCCGTCTCCAAAACTGCACGCATAGTTGTTTATCTTTAAACGTGGGCATTAAGGGGTTCTCTTTCAAACTTGGACCCATTTCATACAAAGTAGAACCAATTTAAGGTATATTTGTCCAATAGGACCCACATCTGGTGATCTTCCAGTGAAATAACGCGACCCACTTAAATAGCGACACGCCCCATATGAAAATACACCCCCTGGCGGGGTACTTTCTCGTTAACATTCTTAAGTTAATGGATTCTTAAGTTTATTGTTCTTCAAATATGACTTCATGATTTTAACTGAATAGCAGCATTGGACTTATACGAGGGTTGTGCACTTTGATCTCATTTGAAAACTAAGCATTCGATCACCTCACTTTATGGACCACCCTCGTACATAGCAAAATAATATTACAAAAATTCATCCTCGCATTGTTTGTTGTAATTCCCCAGCATTAGCTTTTGTGTATCCACAAAAGCTTTGCAATGAAATAAAATAAAAACAAACCATTATATTATAAATTGTTTTATTTTCCGGCTCTTCATAGACATAAAGTATTTTCAAATGGCATAAACACAAAGAAATGTTTCTCTTTCTCAAATAGAAACGATCAATTAAAAATTTCCGATGGCAATTTATAATCCAAGAGCATTAATTAAGTAAGGCATTGATAGCGCAATGTCAGATAAACAATGAATAAATGTAGTTTTGGAATGGCTTAAGGTGTGAACAAGCAAGTAAATTTGTTATCCGATATATTACATTTATTACAAGCTTTAAGTCACAATAATATGAAATTTTAACATTACTTTACATATTATTTTCGTGATTTATCCTGGTTTGTTCCCCATTTCTATAAACTTAATTTTTTATTTAGTTTTTAAAAGTTTAGTAAATGTTTGCAAAGGCATAGCCTTAATCGAATGCCGAATTGTATTTGGTCAATGAATTCAGCGACTTTTGCTACTTTTACAGTGAACAGGACCACCACCTCTGATAACAACAAAACCCCTTTTTACCTCTAACATTTTTTGCCCTGGACACTTTTCGATTATTTCCGGTCATTTAATAGCCAACTACGGTGAGCAAATCATTGACGAGTCGCATCAAATTTTTGGATAAACATTTTTAAAAATGTGTTTTTTGCCTCAATCGAGAGCAAAAATGAAACTTGATATACAATTTCAACTATTTTAACGTCTACAACCTCGGAGTAACCATATGACGAGAAGTGACAATTTAGTATAACTTATGATTCTACGCATGAGAGAGTTAGTGTACTTCTATCTTTACTACTTCGTTGATTATCGTCACAAAAAGCAATAAGCATAATACTTATGACTTCCATAACGTATTTTATTAATCTACTTCCTTCGATCACGGCATTAATATGGAACATTACGGATTGCAAAGATAAGTCCTAATATCATAAATCATTGGGTTAGTTTAAAGCCGATGCTTTGTTATCAAGGTAAAAGGAATTAAAAAAGCATCTAGGTAAATCCGGAATAATCAGCAATATCCACATTTAAGCAGCTCTGTGTCGGTACCCTTTCCACATACTGCATTCATCCCCGGCTAGACAAACTATAATTAAAATTAGAGGAAATCCACCAATAACAAATGACGTCATCATTTCCTGCCTATCGGCTGCTAACACTATTTTCGCACGACTTCTAACATTATTTTCGCACCTTTTAAAATTCCAATAAAAACCCATGGACAATACAGATAGTACTCAGAGGGCATCCATATAGGACACTAGAGTTCATAACAATCCTCGTAAATACAAAAAACAAATACAATTGACATTAAGAAATCCCTGAAACATCATAAAACGGAAAAGTTATCGACTCATAAAGATTACCATAGTCCACTGTTCGACAATAGGACAATCCACAGAGAGATCTTAATTGTGATTATGTATAATATCTGCGGAGGTTCCAACTTGGAGGTTCCCATTGGTATATTTTGACTCGACTATTTTAACCACCATACAAAGAAGATTGGCTCCCAGGGACACAATTCGATATTTTCCAACAAGAAAAATATCAGAGTGTCGTTATTTTTTGATATTATTACTGACTATAAATTCATGAACAACAGTTGAAAAGATTTGAACTAATATCTCGATCACTCCTCGTGTGTTTTGGAATGATTTGTTAGGAAATAAGCCCAAAACTCGTGATTAAAATTCTGAAGTAAACAAAATTGCGGCTGTTTGAATCTTTTTTAATCACGACATCTCCATATATGGCCAAATATCGAGATTGAAGCCTGGGATCCAATACTCCTTGACCACAATAGTTGCTTTTTATATGTCGTCAACGTAAAAGTCAAAGATTACTCCTTGGGTATCTCATAAGAGCCTTGAGCTGAAAAAATTTTAATACCAAAACACAAATTAGACCCCCATATATGTGCAAATATGACACATTTATGAATATCGCTTTGAGAATTAGCGCTTGCATAACGTTCTGAGGCATTCTATAGGAGATAACAAAAATAACTCTATTTTTAATCTGAATGTCATCGCTATTTGCCATAAAGGACATCAATTTGTGATGTTTTATAGGATTAATACAGCCATCCGTCATCTCTTTGGAAATTACAGCGTAGTATTAGTTCATTAAGACTACTACATGCTAGACTTAAAACCATCGTTCACGCTTCAACACCATGATCAAAAATCAAAATATCTATTGATGGCACAAGCAGTGTGTTTATCTAAAACGATTGAAAATTACACGTATTAATACTTCATTAAGACTACTTCATGCTAGACGCCGAAAATCCATCGTTCACGCAATGGAGTCGTCATGATCAAAAATGAAAATAAATATATTGATGTCACATAAATGACATATTTTCCAGTCAATGTCATACATGTATGCTGCCTATTGTGGGTCCCCCACTCAATTCACTACTTTCTATCCCCCGTGTTTATTTGTGAGAAACTCGAGTCCAATTTTGATATATGTGGCGTCTCATTAGAAAATACGGTTCGCGGAACATGAAGTATGTGGACATGAATTCTAGTATGTGTCATTCGGAGTCCCCTAAATCAGTATAGAAAAAAATCAAAATCGATATTAGTTTTGATAATGAGAGAGTAAATAAACAGCTTATTGAGG